CCCGGATGACCGAGCTTCTCACCCCATCTCTAAGGGAGAGTCCAGACACCCTGCGGAGGAAACCCATTTTAGCCACTTGGATCCTTGATCTCATTTTTTCAGTCATGACCCAAAGCTCGTCACCTTAGATGAGGGTAGGAACGTAGATTATCCAGTAAATCGAGAGCTTTGCTTTTTAACTCAGCCTTCTCTTCACCACAACAGACTGGTACAGTGCCCACTTCACTGCAGAATCTGTGCCAATCCATCTGTTGATCTCCTGCTCCATTTTTCCCTCATTAGTGAACAAAATCCCGAAATACTTGAACTCCTCCACTTGGGGCTGGACATGCCCCTCTCTCTCTCCCCCCCCCCCAACCCAGAGAGAGCAATCTACCCTTTTCCAGCTCAAGACCATGGCCTCGGATTTGGAGGTGCTGATCCTCATCTCGGCTGCTTAACACTCAGCTGCGAATCGCTCCAGTGAGAGCTGCAGATCACAACTTGATGAAGCCAACAGGACCACATCATCCTCAAAAAGCAGAGATGCGATCCTAAGGCCATCAAAATGGATCCCCTCAACACCTCGGCTGCACCTAGAAATTCTGTCCATGAAAGTAATTAACAGAATCTTTCACATTCTCACATTATTCCTTTTACTGTGATTTTTATGGTCCCACATAGCTTCCCTTACCTTGCCTCTCTCACCATCTGTGGTGTACAGCCGCTCCTTTAGCCTTTCCTGCATTGCAGCCAATGCTGTATTCAATTCTGATGTTGTCTGCTTTATTGTGGAGACAACAACAGCTATATATTGTAAAATGTTACTCATTTTAACCACTTCAGAGAACACATTTACCAGAAAAGGAGGAGGTGGTGTCTTCCTGTTCTTCCTCACGTCAAGGTCTGCTGCGGTTCCACGCGTCCTGTGCTCTTTGAGTTTTTCTTTAAATTACTTTTTTGTTTTTTCCAGAACCTTCACAAGCCTACACTGCTACCTTACTTATGGAAAATGATACCAAATAAGAGCCCCTTACCACAATATAATCATCTAATTGCATGTTGGAATGGAGAGCTCTTAGCCATCTATAATCTTGTTCACCTTCCCCATGTGACTTGATCTGTAATTGCTTCTAGTGTCCGATTTTTGTATTTGTAGGAGACATGAATAACTTTGAAGAACGATTGTCTGACGCTGTGTGGAACGTTCAATTGTATGACTTTCACTAAGTCATACAATACTTCACTAAGTAACTACTATGATGACAAGTTTAGAAAGTGATTAACTCCTGGATGGGAATTGTAATGTCTGTGCAAATACGAACGTCCCAGAACCATCTGGCATCTGTTGACATTTGACTGAAATATGTGGGAGCCTATATTCATATGCCTCTGAGATCCCCAAGCCTAAACTGGACTCCATAGAGCAACAAGTGGTGAATTTCTTCAGCTCCTAAGGCTTGACCATCCCCATCAATGATTATCAGGACTTGTCATCTTTTCCCTTGAAAAAACAAATCAGACAAGTCAGCAATTATAATTTGGTTTATAAAGTGACATCAAAATTGATTGTTAAAACAAAAGAAGAAACAGAAGTAGTCTCATGTCTATGTTAATGAAAACTTAATTGATATAGTGGTGGTGGGTCAGTTTTGATGTGTATGTTTTGTGTGTGTCTCTCAGGGGCTTGCGGTGGACTTCTTCTAATTGGAAATTCTCCTGGTTTCCTCTTTTCCCCTGGATGGCCTGAAAACTATCCTCCTAACCAAGACTGTACCTGGCTCATTCGGGCTCCAGATTCCATCATAGAATTTAATTTCTTGTCTCTGGACATGGAGGGATATCCACCCTGCTACTCTGACAGCCTGATCATCAGAGATGGTAAACATTGGAAAATGTGTTAAATATATACTGTAAAGACATAGTTCAAAATGTCACCTTTGTCACAATTTTAAGATAAATACTTCATGTAATGAAATGACTATTATGATTTAGGTCAGCACATATCTAGATGCATGTTGAGAACAACCCAATGCAGAAAGTGTCTGGAGTTTCTCCATTGTTAGTAGAAAGAGTAGAGCCTTTTTGTCAAAGTTTGGTAAAACGAATCTGCAGTGAAGCCTCTAAAGTACAAACATAATTAAATATAATTTCTTGCCAGTGAATTACTTTAATGTCCACTACTTTCAGTGATGAAGTGTTTCTAAACACAATGATTCAAGATACTAACCGCCTGTTGTAATGAATGAACTTTGGTTTTGTCATCTATCATTCAAATTTTATTTGCATAGCACATTTCAGCAGCAAGGCATTTCAAACTGCTTTACATCATAAACACAAAAACACAAAG